AGCTTTTTTTCAGTATTTGATAAAAAGTTAATTTTCCTAAAGGGGGGCACCGAGCACCCTGAATTCTCGCAATTTCATAAATATTTGTTTAGAACGGTTGCAAGTTGTTCTTATCACTACAATCCTCCGCCACAACAACCTTATGCAACTTCCGCTCAAAACAATTATTACAAGGTAAAATTCGCAATCAGAAAATATTTTTTTGAAATCGCCATTTTTTTATTGAAAAAATAATTACAATAAAAAGCTCTATTAGAAAGTTGCAGATTTTTTTAAGCATTTCAATACCGTATTATTGAAAGGGACTGTAAGCATAATTTTAAGTGACCTTTCATTTGAATATGGGCATCCCCGATTCACAACGGTACCATTTAAACTTTTCCACGTAAAATATATTTGTGTTTTTACGGGGCACAAGTAACATCAGCTGAGTTGAGTTCAAACTGTACGCAAGCGTACACTTCAGATTTAAGGGAATTCAAGCAATATTAAGATATATACACAAGGACATCTTTGTCCTTGGTAAACAGTCAAAGGTTTAAAGGTTTAACGTTGTATGTAAACTAGAAACTGTTTAGAACTAGGACTTGGCAAAGTTCCGTTAACGAAACGGAGGTTTTCAAAAATTAACAGAAGAGTCCGATAACGAAAGGCAAAACCTGTTATTTTTTAAATCGTGAAAGAAACGGATTAGTTTTTTTTGAAAAAAACTTAACGGTTAAAAACGAAACTGTTTAGGGTTACATACCAGAAACTGTTTAGGATTATATACCAGAAACTGTTCAGAATTACATACAAGAAACTGTTTAGGATTATATACCAGAAACTGTTTTTGGATTATATACCAGAAACTGTTTAGGATTATATATCAGAAACTGCTTAGGATTATACACCAGAAACTGTCTAGGATTATATACCGGAAACTGTTTAGGATTACATACCAGAAACTGTTCAGAATTACAAACAAGAAACTGTTTAGGATTATATATCAGAAACTGCTTAGTTTATACACCAGAAAATGTCTAGAATTATATACCGGAAACCGTTTAGGATTACATACCAGAAACTGTTTAGGATTATATATCAGAAACTGCTTAGGATTATACACCAGAAACTGTCTAGGATTATATACCGGAAACTGTTTGGGATTACATACCAGCAACTGTTCAAAATTACATACAAGAAACTGTTTAGGATTACATACCAGAAACTGTTCAAAATTACATACAAGAAACTGTTTAGGATTACATACCAGAAACTGTTCAGAATTACATACAAGAAACTGTTTAGGATTATATACCAGAAACTGTTTAGGATTGTATATCAGAAACTGCTCAGGATTATACACCAGAAACTGTCTAGGATTATAAACCGGAAACTGTTTAGGACAGAACCTGTTCAGAATTACATACAAGAAACAGTTTAGGATTATACACCAGAAACTGTCTAGGATTATATAATGGAAACTGTTAAGGATTATATACCAGAAACTGTTTAGGATTACATACCAGAAACTGTTTAGGATTATATACAAGAAACTGTTTTGGATTATATACCAGAAACTGTTTAGAATTATTCACCAGAAACTGTTTAGGATTATATACCAGAAACTGTTGAATATACCCAGCTACCTGAAGCCTATGGATATGCAAACAGTCCAGGTTCTAATAAAAATAAATACATATATTTAATATAAAAATCAAATTGTAAATTAATTGGCTTAACAATGACTTAAAAATAAATGAATATATAAGATGGTGAGAAGAGTCAGCCCAGTAAAATAAATAAATGAATAGGTGAACGAATGAATAAATGAAAGGATGAATAAATGAATAAATGAATAGATAAATAAATTAATAATTAAATAAATTAATAAAAGAATGAATGAAAGGATGAATCAATGAATAAATAAATGAATAAGATTATGTGAAGAGAAAGCCCCGTGAATTGAGTAAATAAATAAATAAATCAATAAATAAATAAAATAAATGAAAATGAAATAAATAAAATAAAATTAAATAAAATTAAAAGGATGAATAAATAAATGAATTTATAAATAAATGAATGAGTAGACGATGTAAAAAGTGAGCCCCGTGAAATGAGCTGTATACAAGAACCTGGGGACTACATCGACCTTCTTCCTCACAATCTGATGGGTAGATCCATTATTTAAAGGGACTGTATAAACACAGGGTTACCCACAAAGGATGATACTGTGAAGACGACCTAAATTTATCAAAATATGACGATCCCTTAATGGAACTTAATGGTAGAACCTTTCTTAACCGAATTCAAAATACTAGAAATTCAAGGCGCTTCGCGCCCTTCTTACTAGGCTTTTGGGGCGCTTCGCGCCCATCTTCTATTTAAATTGTGAACATGTTCTTTTTGTTTACATTTAAAAACAAAGAAGAAAAAAAACTTTGCGGATTTTTTAAAAAAAACGCGGATTTTCAAGAATTTAGATTTGTTTACAAAACTAAAAACCTTTAAAACACATTTTTATCATTCATAAACCTTCCCTGGGATAACGCGGATCGGTGCCACAAAAAATTTGGGCCCGATATGTTCAGCCGTTTTGACGTTTATTGGATACAAACAGACAGACAGACAAACAGACAAGCCAAATTTATATATAGATTTAAAAGAGCTGCTGACATGATCTGACATGATCTGTAGAACAAAATTCTGAACGTAACAGTACAGTTTTTCACTAAACATTTCTTTCGTCCTGAAACGATATCAATCTTTAGAAACCAGTTTATCACTCGCTCTAAAGGAACTGTAAGCGTAATTTCAAGTGATCCTCCAAGCAATCAAAGAGGAGAATGTCCGATTTACATATTATGTTTAATATTTACATATTATGTTTAATATTTACATATTATGTTTAATATTTAGAGAAATAATCCTTGATCAATTTAAGGTCTAATGAGTACTTTTGTGAATCAAGTAAAGAGTCATGGTTTATATTACGTTTAGAATCCCTTTAAAGCAAGATTGTACGGTAAATGTCGTCTTTAAGTATAGATAGATAAATTCCTCATATGACGTCACTGATTAAAGAGGCGAGAGTAACTTCATATGCGGATTTTATCTATCTATGCTAAGGAGACTACATTTCGCAGAAAGAGTAATCAACATTAACCCTTGCTTTAAACTCAACCAACATTTTATCAACTATATTTTAATCTTTATTAATTTCAGGTTACACTGATGTTGAAAAATATAAATTAGGAACAAAAAGAATAAAATTCAATCTCTTAAACAAAAGCATTATAATTATTAAATTTTTTACCCAGCAAACAATAGTAGAGTTAAACTCGAGTTTTGACTCCCAGAACTGGGCCTTTAAAGTCAATTTAAACTCGAATTTTGACTCCCAGAAATGGGCCTTTAAATGGAGTGTTCGCAAAAAATGAAAGGGGGTATAGGCTTAGTGCGATAAAAAAGCGCTTTTGATCGCTACTAATCTTACTTCTATAGGTTGCGTCTATAAGGAGAAAATTGTTAAAGACGTCTCATACCGAATAACTTAGTGGCCATACAAAATGAGAAAATCGCATATGACTTAGACCGTAAAAAATCAATTTAATTTCAAACAAATCATTTATATTACAACCTATAGTCATCGATTATCTTTCACCACATTTTTATATAGTTTATATTTAGTATATTTAGTTTATATTTTTTGATTAATTTGTTTGTTTCTCTTGTCGCTTGCGCAACTATCTCAGAATGCCGCACAACACTCACAATTTTTGAAATCCGTGGAAAACGTTTTCTTCAAAAATAAAATATTATAAAATATAAACTATATACAAATGTGGCTAAAGATAATCGATGACTGTAGGTTTTAATATCTAAATGATTTGTTTAAAATTAAATTGATTTTTTACGGTCTAAGTCCTATGTTGCAATTTTCTGAATTTGTATGGCCGCTAAGTTATTCGGTATGAGACGTTTTTAACAATTTTCTCCTTATAGACACAACAGATAGAAGTAAGATTAGTAGCGATCAAAAGCGCTTTTTTATCGCATTAAGCCTCCCTTTAACGTCAATTTAAACTCGAGTTTTGACTCCCAGAAATGGGCCTTTAAAGTCAATTTAAACTTGAGTTTTGACTCCCAGAATTGGACCTTTAAAGTCAATTTAAACTCGAGTTTTGACTCCCAGAATTGGGCCTTTAAAGTTAATTTAAACTCGAGTTTTGACTCCCAGAATTGGGCCTTTAACGTCATTTTGAACATAAAGGACGTCTTTATTTTTCCCAACATTTTACCTTAACAGCCCCTGGATGAAGACTTCTACGCGTTTTTAATTACAACGAAAATTTTGGATTTACATACTTTGGATATGTTAATGTCGTCCTAAAAGTGCTTAAGAGTAACCCTTTCATAAAATTGTGGATTTCTACAGCAAAAAAAAACGTTCTTGATCGTAGAAAGGAAGAGGGAGCGGAACCGAATTGCTGCTTCAAAATGCAGGTGGACCAACAAAAATTCATCTTAATTCATTTTTAAAATTATATACAATTGTAATTTTAACTTTTAAACTGTCAATTATTTTTTTTATTATTTGGTCAAAGTTGGGATAAAATTTAAAAGGTGTGCAGGTACATTTCAAATAGCTTGCTTCCCATGACTTACGTTTGTTTATGTACGAGCAAAACATAATTCTAAATATTTTCATAATAGAAATATTGTCTCTTTATTCAGAATGCGTAAACTTGAAAGAATAGCTCAGCTAGATGAGGAAGTTAGAAGGTTAAAAGCAGAAAAAGAAGAATTAGGAGAGGTAAAAAAAATATATTAAAAGAATGTTAGCTTGGAATGGTCTGGGAATTTTCTATTAAAGAAGTTGGCAAAGAAAGGACTTAGTTTTCAGATTATGAGAATTCCTTAAATATATCCGTCTCTGAAGTCTCATTCTTTGTGGGTATCCCTCACGCACAAAGAGGTTATAGTGTATAGAGTGATGATGTACGCTAATCCTTTACTAATTGTATAGGCAATGAACCATACCGAGAGCGTACTACATATTTGATTGCTATGTATTTGTTGGCCTAACCTGTAGTATATCATTATTAGTACAGTTGTAAGTGTACTGTAAAGCTAACTGAGCTCACGCACCTCTAACCTTTGGCCTTTAGTAAATTCAACCTAAAGTCTGGCCGCGTCAACCTTGCACCGGCTATTCCTATTGAGTATCTGCTTAGTTTACCCAACGTCCTGGCGATACAATTCATAGCCTAGATCTATTTTTTCAAGATGTGACTCATGTCCGCTCATGCTCACTAAATGAGGAACAATTACTTTCACATCGTAATCAAGCGGAGTATTATTCCAACTAACTTTATTATAAGGTAATGATGGATTTTATAGTACATGGACTAGTGGAGCAGAAAAAGTTTAATGCATTGTGAATGTTGCGCGGTCAACTGCGCTGCACATTGGTAATCGTCTTTGTATTTTTTCTTGAATTTGTTGCAATTTTATCTAAGCAGAACAGGGTTCGAGATCAATCTAATATCCCATGAGTTGAGAACGCACTGATTCTTCTGGTTTGATTTGGAAAATATCTGAGGCCAGAGCTGTGGGAATATCGTCTTCCACAATATATACATTGCACTTATTTTATATTAACATCTCTGTTATTACTGTAGAATAAATTATTTTATTTTATTTTATTTTATTTTATTTTATNTCTTAAAATGAACTGTATCCATCTATGATACACTGTATTTACCTTGAATACACTGTGTTCACCTAAAATATATTGTATTAATTTAGAATACACTATATTCATATAGAATATAATGTATTCACCTAAAATAAACTGTACTCATCTAGAATACACCGTATTCACCCAGAAAACACTGTATTAACCTAGAATATACTGTATTAATCTTGAATACTCTGTATTCATCTTGAATACTCTGTATTCATCTTGAATACTCTGTATTCATCTTGAATACTGCGAATTCATCTTGAATACATTGAATACACAATATTCATCTTGAATACATTGTATTTATCTAGAATACACTGTATTCATCTAGGATGCACTGTATTCATCTAGAATGCACTGTATTCATCTAGAATACACTGTATTCACCTAAAATTCACCTAGAAAGCACTGTATTCATTTTGAATGCAGCGAGTTTACCTAGAATACAATGTATTTACCTAGAATGCATAGTATTTACCTAGAATACATAGTATTTACCTAAAATACATTGTATTTACCTAGAATACAATGTATATACTTAGAATATACTATAATTATCTAGATTACACTATAATAATCTATAATACACTCTGTTTACCTAAAATACACTTTATTTACCTAGAATACGCTGCATTCATCTAGAATGCATTGTATTTACCTAGAATACACTGTATTTACCTAGAATACATTGTATTTACCTAGAATACAATGTATATACTATATTTATCCAGATTATACTGTATTAATCTATAATACACTCTTTTTTCCCAAAATACACTTTATTTACCTAGAATACGCTGTATCTACCTAGAATACATTGTATTAATATAGAATACACTGTATTTATCTAGAATGCACTGTATTCTTATAGACTTTGTTCTAAGTATGCACTGTATTCACATACAGCACATTCACCTCGATTACATTGTATTTATTTGGATTACAGTAAATTTACCTAAAATACAAAAAAATGTAAGTAGAATACACTGTATTCACATTGAATAGGGTGTTTTCATATGGAGTACACTATATTTATCTAGGTTACTGTGTTTTCATCTTTAATACACTGTATTTACTTAGAATACACTGTTTTTACTTAGAATACACTGTACTTGTCTAGAATCCACTCTATTCATCTGTAATACATGGCATTTACTTAGAATACACTGTAATAACCTTGAATACACTGTATTTATCTATAAGAAACTGTATTCACCTAGAATACACTGTTTTCATATTAAATACTTTCTGTTTATCTATAATACATTGTATTTATCTAGAAACACTGTATTCATCTCTAATAGACTGTATTCACCTAGAATAGAGCACATTCATCTAGAATACACTGTCTACATCTAGAATACAATGTATTCATCTAGATTACAATATATTTACCTAGAATACACCGCATCTATTTAGATTACTTTGTATTATTTACCTAGAATAGGCTGTATTGATTGATATAGAATACACTTTATGTTTCTTAATTATAGTGTATTCATCTAGAATACACTGTATGCATCTATATTACAGTGTATTCATCTAGAGTACACTGTATTCACCTAGAATACACTGTATTCATCTAGAATACACTGCATTCATCTAAAATACACAGTATTCATCTAGAATACACTGTATTCACCTAGAATATACTGCATATTCATCTATAATGCACTGTTTTCACCTAGAATACACTGTATTTACCTTGAATACACTGTATATATGTAGATAGTATTCATCTTGAATACATTGTATTTACCTTGAGTACACTGTACATTACATATGTAGAATGTACTCATCTATAATTAAGTGTATTAATCTGGAATACACTGAATTCATTTAATATATACTACTATATTCATCTAGAATACACTATATTTATCTAAAATACACTGTATTCCTCCAGAATACATTGTATTCACAAGGAGAGAGCCGGGTGTAGAACTGTCAGTATGTGTATACAATTTCTAAAAGAGAAAACAATCTTTTTAACACAATACATGAACAGGAGGGTGTACTTTTACTAGGTCGGCTTCAGGACATTTTAGATTGAGGACTGGTGACTGGGAGGGGGTAAGGGAAGGTTTAAGAGATGAGACAGGAGACTATCAATACAATTTAACTAAAAAGTTAAACTTTAATCTGTCAGACTGAATATGTTGATTGACCGGGAAGGGGGGGAATGAGGGTTTAAGTCAATTCAAATTTAGACACAAAATCACGGATTGATGGTTGGTGGCTCCTCTATTCATAGTCTTAATAAATGAATTTATTTCAAATCTATAAAATATTACAGTTTTTGAGGAAATGAATATTGGTGAACATGGTTTGCTGTTTAATAAAATAAATATTGCTGAATATGGTTTACTGTTTAATNATGAATATTGGTGAACATGGTATGCTGTTTAATAATATGAATATATTGGTGAACATGGTTTGCTGTTTAATGTCATGAATATTGGTGAACGTGGTTTGCTTTTTAATAATATGAATATTGGTGAACATGGTTTGCTGTTTAATAAAATGAATATTGGTGAACATGGTTTACTGTTTAATAAGATGAATTTTGGTGCACATTGTTTACTGTTTAATGAAATAAATACTGGTGAACATGGTTTGCTGTTTAATAAAATGAATATTGGTGAACATGGTTTGCTGTTTAATAAAATGAATATTGGTGAACATTGTTTGCTGTTAAATAAAATAAATATTGGTGGAACATTGTTTTACTGTTTAATAAAATGAATATTGGTTAACATTGTTTTACTGTTTAATAAAACAAATATTGGTGTAACATTGGTTTACTGTTTAGTAAAATGAATATTGGTGAACATTGTTTTATTGTTTAATAAAATATATTTTGGTGTAACATTGTTTTACTGTTTAATAAAATGAATATCAGTGAACATTGTTTTACTGTTTAATAAACAAAATATTGGTGAACATTGCTTTCTGTTTAAATAAATAAAAATTGGTGAACATTGTTTTCTGTTTAATAAAATAAAAATTGGTGAACATTGTTTTACTGTTTAATAAAATGAATATTGGTAAACATGGTTTGCATGGTTTGCTGTTTAATAAAATAAATATTGGTGAACATTGTTTTACTGTTTAATAAAATGAATATTGGTGAACATTGTTTTACTGTTTAATAAAATAAATATTGGTGAACATTGTTTTACTGTTGAATAAAATAAAAATTGGTGAACATTGTTTTACTGTTAATTAAAATGAATATTGGTCAACATTGTTTGCTGTTTAATAAAATGAATATTGGTGAACATTGTTTGCTGTTTAATAAAATGAATATTGGTGAACAAGGTTTACTGTTTAATAAAATGATTATTGGTGAACATTGTTTTACTGTTAAATAATACGAATATTGGTGAACCTTGTTTGCTGTTTAATAAAATAAATTTTGGTGTAACATTGTTTTACGGTTTAATAAAATGAATTTGGGTGAACAGTGTTTTACAAAATATTGGTGAACATTGCTTTCTGTTTAATAAAATAAGTATTGGTGAACATGGTTTGCTGTTTAATAAAATGAATATTGGTGAACATTGATTTACTGTTTAATAAAATGAATAATAGTGAACATTGTTTACTGTTTAATAAAATAAATTGGTTAACATGGTTTTTTGTTTAATAAAATGAATATTGGTGAACATTGTTTTACTGTTTAATAAAATAAATATTGGTGTAACATTGTTTTGCTGTTTAATAAATAAATATTGGTGAACATTGTTTTGCTGTTTAATACAATATATATTGGTTAACATTGTTT